ACACAAGTTATTGTCTGGAAGTTACAAAAATGCTTATTTTTGGCCCCTTTTTGGCCCCTAATTCCTTAACTGTTGGTACCATAACCCCCAAAATCAATCCCCACCTTCCTTTCGTGGTATTGAACCTTATGGTAAAATTTCATGGAGATCCATTCATTTAAACTAAATTTAGAGTGCGAAAACCAATGTGTCTTCGGACGACGCCAGACAACGACGACGACGACGACGACGACGCCAACGGTCGTATAAAAATGGAAAAAATGGATTCATTTTTTTTACAAAATTTCCTTCTAGATACTAGCTTTTGATCATAAACAAGCTTCTTTCCAAGTTTGGTACAAATCCAAAATAGTATAAGAAAGTTATTAAAATTTTAAAAACTTTAACCACAGAGTGAATGTAATATTTCCCGGCAGAAAAACTAAGTCCATTTATAAGTAAAATACGGAAAAAATGGAATTTTATTTTTACAAAATTTACTTCTGGATACTATCTTATGATCATAAACAAGCTTCTGTCCAAGTTTGGTAGAAATCAAGGATAGTTTAAGAAAGTTATTAAAATTTCAAAAACTTTAACCACAGAGTGAATATTTGTGGACGCCGCCAACGACGACGACGCCGACGGAATGTAGGATCGCTATGTCTCGCTTTTTCGACTAAAGTCGAAGGCTCGACAAAAATCAAAACCCTGACCACATGCACACCTTCAATATATGTACAAACAGCCAGCAAAGTGAAAACTTCCTAGCATTCAAACTGTAGGAGGAGTTATCTGGAATAGCTATACACCTATAATGGGACGGACGGACGGAAGGACAGACGGACAGAAAGACGGACGGACAGGGGTAAAACAATATGCCCTCCAACTTTCAGTTGCGATGGCATAAAAAGTTAGGTATGTCTGTCCAAAGGATAGAAATTTCCAAGAAACTGAAATTTTTAAGTAAATCTAAAATGTCTAAAATTTCGACCCATTTACCTATCAAGTAGCACATGAAGGTATCTTTTTTATTACATAATTGAAAAACAAAGGATATGGGAAATCAATCCATGACACAAAATCAGTACATGCACAGCCAAAAACACACAAAAAGCGAAGGAAATATTTGAATTGAAGAGGTAAAAAATAGCTTGTATGCAAATTTTTGTAAAAAATCACTGTGTTTAACAATATACAAAGCCCTATATGGTCCGGGTACACAGTTATCGTCCTTTGATTTTCGTTGTCCACGAATATAGTCCCTAGTGTGGACAGTGTGTTACTTGTTGATTTTTTTTATACCCCTTCCAAATTTATTTCTCCATGTTTTATGACTCAAATAGTAAGTAGGGGGGTGAAATGACACTGTAAAAAAATTTGGGTCATGAATTTTAAAGTGAAGTAGTGATTTGGTCCAGCTGAAAAATGTTAAAAATTAGCACTTCGGAAGCTGTCAAAAGATTTGAAGACCCCCTTAACATGAAATTGTCCATATTTTGAGTTAGAGCCGATGAAGTTTTCTATAATTTTAATATAATTTGTCCCAAAAGTAGTACAACACACTGTAAAAATATTATTGAGAAAGCGCAGGTGGGATTTTTTTAATTTTCATTTATTGTCTAAAAGAAATGCACTACGAAATAACTGTGTACTCGGACCTAAGAGGTGAAATCAGGAAATATAGAATCTGTACTTTGGCAACTTCCCTGAATGATTTGATGGTGTCAATTTATCAATAGCATAAAACTAAAGGATTTAAACTTTTATTTGATAGAATTTCTGCAAAAATGACCAATTTTGGCATTTTATGGTCAAAATAAGCATTTCATAGCTTTTTCAATTTTGATGCATAAGTGGCATTCTGATTTTCTATCTGACAGGTTTTTATGTGTCAATATTTGTGTTTCTATGCTTCAATCCAGTTGTATTACTCATTTGTGAACTCTGAATCTACAGAAAAGAAGATTATCTCAGACAATATGTGCAAAATGTGTTGTATATATGATCCTCGTCTAACGCCCTGTTTGCATCAAGTTAAATGTGAGGAGCTTGGAACATAAAAGTTGAAGTCCATTATAAAGACCTCACTAAATTTGTATAAAAAGCACTTAACAATGTCTTTTGTACCTATTTTATGTCACATAATATCTTTTTTTTCTTCTGTAGGATAGCAAGTGGTTCAAATATAAGCCTGTTGAGACTAAAATTGCATGCATGTTTTTCACTTAAAAGTGAAAAATCTTTGTATCAGACCATACTGTCTGCAAAAAAAGTTGAATGCAAGAGTCTTTTTGTGCTCAGATTTATTGTATCATGTCACCTGAGTATAGAAATGATAGAAAAGACACAAAATTTTATTTCCTATAGCTTCAATATGCATTTTTAAATGTAAATATGTGATACGGCCTAAATTGACCCTTAATTATTTTCAGTCTTACTTGGCCTAAGACCCTTTTAAACTAATGTGATATGTTATTTGTAAGTTTTCTTTCCATTTAAAGTACATTAAATACATATGTAAGGATTATTTATAACCAAAAAGCTTTACAAATTTAAAATTGCTGGAAAATATTACATCTTCATGTAAGGCCCCCCTTCATTGGAAAACCTCCATTTTTAGCCACAGGCTCATATAAATTTGACTTTTTAATAATTATGATAAGTCTGATAAATCAAATGAGTACTCTATTGCTTTTAATACATAATATATTATATATTAAGGCATTTCAAAAGTATTTTTTTCCAATATTTTAATTTTTTAAGCCCCAAATGTTGATAGTTGAAAATTTTCAATTTTAACGTCTAAATTTAACACGCAAAGTTGAATATAGAATTAGTCATATTGTCTATAATATATATCCTATTGCCATGAAACTTTGTAAGCAGTCTTATAATTTAATAAGCTTTGGTCATACCAAGTTTCATTAAGATTGGTCAACTTTTTCTACCCTATTAGGTCCGGGTACACAGTTATCGTCCTTTGATTTTCGTTGTCCACGAATATAGTCCCTAGTGTGGACAGTGTGTTACTTGTTGATTTTTTTTATACCCCTTCCAAATTTATTTCTCCATGTTTTATGACTCAAATAGTAAGTAGGGGGGTGAAATGACACTGTAAAAAAATTTGGGTCATGAATTTTAAAGTGAAGTAGTGATTTGGTCCAGCTGAAAAATGTTAAAAATTAGCACTTCGGAAGCTGTCAAAAGATTTGAAGACCCCCTTAACATGAAATTGTCCATATTTTGAGTTAGAGCCGATGAAGTTTTCTATAATTTTAATATAATTTGTCCCAAAAGTAGTACAACACACTGTAAAAATATTATTGAGAAAGCGCAGGTGGGATTTTTTTAATTTTCATTTATTGTCTAAAAGAAATGCACTACGAAATAACTGTGTACTCGGACCTAAGATATATTGCCCTAAAAAAATTAAATTTTCTTTTTTATACAAAAATAATATGACTCCCTGATATCAAAATGTCCCCAAGAAATAATTCTGTAGAATTTCCTTCTATTCCTTTCAAATCAATATACACTGTAACAGATTTTGTGATGAGATATTTTTTCTACAAGTACAAAAGGGTTTGCAATGACCCAAAAATGAATCTTCATCAAAAAATAATACAAAGGGGCACAACTTCTACGCTTGGTGTAAAGTAAGTTTTGTTTTAGCTTTGATAAATGTTCATATATGTACAAATGGTAAAGTCGACTTTTGCTCAGGGGAAATCCTTGAAATCTCTGATCCAAAATAAATATGGAGATGCACAACTTTTACAAGTGGTGTAAAGTTTTTTGTAAAGTTTTGTTCCAGATGTATGTACTAAACTGTTGGAGGTTTTGCTTTGGTAAACTTTCATATGAGTACATATGAAAATGGTAAAGTCTATGTTTTTTTACAGTCAAGGGAAAGCCTTAAAATCAATCTGATCAAAACATAATATGGAGTTACACCACCAAATTAATTATATATATATAACTAGTTGTCAAGTTTCAATCCATTTTTCTTATCAACAGATACAGTCTCAGTTGACAAGGTTTATTTATTAGTTGAAATTGAATTTAAAGTAGATTTCAGTCCTTGTGAGTATTTTCAGATTGGTGCTTTAATTTGTGTCCATGTCATTTCGTCAGTTGTTTTTTGTCATAGTACCATTCTGATGAGTCACTCATGTTCAGATATATTTATATTGGCCCATTACACCACAGTCCCAAGATGAAATGTTGAGCACTCACAAATATGTTAACCCTGCCACAATCTGCATGTGCCTGGCCTAATCCTGTTATTCAGAGGTTGTTTTTTGGCTCTCTGTCATAATAGTTTTTTTGTTTTGTTCTAAATCCAGTGGTTCCCAAGGCTTTGAGAAATCAACTGGATATTTGGTCCAGTAAACCATTCTTCTGAACTCTTTTTTATAGGACATTGACACATATGATTTGGACAAAATTCAACATTTTACTGGTCATTTGGTCAAGTAATGACCTTAACTGGACCAAATCAATTTTTAATTGTCTTTGTCGAATGTCTTGTGACCTTGGGAATGACTGTAAATCATGCTTGTGGATTTCTCTTTTGAATAATTATACATTTTGTTATCCCTGGAGCTTTTATAGCTTTACTATATTTACTGGATTTTACTTTGATATTATTGTTACAGGCTGTTCAGTAATCTTTAGCTATTTACATCATTGTCCTTTGGTCTTAGTTGGGTAGCTGCCTTATTGGCAATCATACCACATCTCCTTATTTTAATACATTTGTATAATATAAACTTACTGATAGAAAAAAAGATAAAATTCTTTAAAATTCTGTTCAACAGGTTAATTCTTTAAATTCAGAAATTTCTGGGTGCATTTCTCATCATCATTGTAGAAATATCAAACCAAGAATGCAACAGTGTTGCAATAAAAATTTGAATTGCAAGTTGTTTATTTTTATGAAACCTAACCTGTCTCAATTTCAATGATAAAAAACATTACAAAAATTTCTGAATAACTAACAGCAATAATGTACTTACTGTTAAGATTGTCTTTATCCTTCAGTTTTTAGAGAAAAAATCTTGTTCTACAAAATAAAATAATCTAATATAAAATTGTCAGCTAGTAGTTTAATAGTGCACTGCTTACCCTTGTGTCAAGTAACTAGACCTAGTATAGATTAACTGTAGTTAACATATCAAGCAATTTTTATACCACCATCATACTAAATATCATTTCAACTTAACTTACTGTATTTGGACATATTTTCAATAGAGTTAGTAGGTACAATGTAGTAAGATAATTTGGATGGCACAGCGAATGAATTTTCATTTGGCCTTAGTTGACTGCAACAAAATCAGTTTAATTATTAATTTGGTCACATAAATTTATCTATTTTTTGTAAATATTATTTGGTCATATTATTTATTTAATTGATCAGTAAAGTTAAGATTTAATATGGTTGTACAGTCAAGAAGTGTTTCTTTTCCCTGGCATCAGCATATACTTACATCTGATCCTAGATCAGGGGGGGCTTTCTCTTGACTGTGCAGTTATCATAACAGTAACCTGAAAAAAAACACTTTATATAAAATGCATGGGAAAATAAAATGTGTTTCTTAATAATTAGTGTTGTACATGTAAGTATGCTAAATTTGTGGGAACCCATTTTAACAATGAACAAAAAATGTTGAGTAGTTATTTTCATTTCAAATAATAGACCACTTTTGAGTTTGTTGCATTTCCGTCAAAAACTTCGGTTTTAGTGAACATCATTCGTGTGTTTAGGGGCATCGTCACTTCCTTCCCATATTGAGCTAGCAGTTGAAAAAAATATGATGCTATATAGTATATTGCACGAATTTTTCAGCAAATTAAATTCTTATAAATGATAATCAGCACTGTTGTCATTAGGGAATTGTGATTAAGTACCGAAAGAACAAACATTATTTCTACTTTATCCTCCATAATGACCATCACAAAGACGCTTGGTGAACTTTAATAGTGCAGGGATACAGGCCCTATCTGGTAAATGACGCCATAAAGGCGTGCATAATTGACGAACTTCTCCGGTGAAGGACATTACTCGAAAGTGGTCAAATAATTTTATCTGTAATTGTCAGTTATGTCTATAAAAAAAATACAAATTGAATTCTTTGGCTTCATGTCACCATGGTTAACAGTTTTACAAATTAAGACAGAATGGCAATTTCATAAATATTTAGGAGGATTACCTATAAATCTTATTGAGAAAACTGTTCATATTTGTTCATGTACATGTAAGTCTTAAAGTTGCTTGACCAATTCTTTTTTAAATAAATACACTATATAAAAAGGGTCTTAAACAAGTGAACTTATAGGTTAAAATATGAAGTAATCCACATGATCTAACATATCTTTTAAGTATTGTGTTTGTCATTGATCACTGAATTCTCTTAAAGATCCAGGCCAGTATTTTTTCACTTGGCTGGGCAATACTCATAAAACAGGGTTTTTACCAACCCTGTTTTTGAGTATTTTATTTATAGCTGTTGGTTTTGTTAATCCATGAAATATAACATTCAACAGTGGACATTTCTAAATCAAACATCAACACAATACAATTTCACGATAAAGTGGTATAATTATAAAGCAATACAATCAAAAATAGAAGAACATAACTGTACAAGAAGAAAGATTGGATCATAAATTTTCTATGAAAACATTTATAGGACTTTAATTCCAGATGTCAGGTTTGAACATGATTTGTTTCTAACGTCACGGTACCCAAATTGCACCTATTTAGCAAAAGTAGCAGCGGAAATCTTACAAGTTTTCTTAGAGACTAAACAATTTGTATTTTTATGATTTGACATTATGCACGTCTTTCAACATAGGTAAATATATTTAAATATACACAAAACATTCACAGTATATATCAACAGAAGAAGTATTCACTGGTAAAGGAAAATGTACGGAAACGTCGCGATGCGACGTCCACAAAAAGGTCATCTTTTAAAAATGAGCAATTAAAATATGTTACAAGCCTCCATTTCTTAAAAGATGAATAGTAAGCATAGATTAATCTCAAATTGTACTAAATATTTGAAGAAATAATGTAATTCGATTTTTAAGGATGTGAATTTAAGCATGGATGCAATTTGGGTACTCCTCATTACAGAATCATGGATTGTTTGGAGGTCTGTTCAAACCCATTTTTTTATGATTCAGTATGGATTCAAAATTAAATTGGTGGAACCATATAGCGAATAATGATACAGCTACACAATAAACACAGAATGGAAACTTTTGTTTGGATCATGAATAAACATAGGTGAAAAAACTGTCAAAATAGGTGCAATTTGGGTACCTTCACGTTATATTAATTTAAATAAAGTCTAACATAACAGCCACAACCATAAAATCACTGCTTTGACAGAAAAAAAAGTTATGATGTCACCCTTATATGAAAATGAAATATATAATACTTTCTGTGATTAAAACAATATTTTGCTCAAGAAAAAATCCCAATAAGAAAATTTCAATCCAGGTTTAAGGTTTGAACTCTGTATTATTAATATTTACAGTTGACACGTTCGTAACCAATGACTATATGATCACGGCCATGGCCAGAATGAACATAAAAAGAAAAATTTAAATGTTTACACATTCAAAACTAAAGTACATTTGATTTTTTGTGTTCAAATAATTAATTTTAGTTGTATAATAGCTAATAATAGCCTTGTTTTTTCAAAATGTCTAGCAGCTATGATTGAATATACTCTCTGAACAAGTGCAAAATCAATATATTTCAGATGTATATGCATATGCAAAACCCAACGTTTTCGTAACAAATACATGTGTCAGTGTGATAAATGCTATTATTCATAAAATTAATTAACCTTTATTTGCTATAAGTCAAATATATATATATATATCACTTTTATCCTTTGCAAGTATTTTTCATATATATAGATAGATTTCGAATGACGTAATTTCAGTTTGAGTTATTTTCCTTGAACGCCATTTAAGAGGGATAAACGGTTGACTTTCTTACATGACTAATCAAATTGAAACATGCTATACACACAAGTCTGATAAGACATCCTTACTTAATTGTCGTGATGAATTAAGCAAAGCTACAAGAAATAAAAATTTCTTAGAAAAAACAATTTAATTTTGTAAAGTCTAGTGGTCAGCGTAACAAGTTGATTTTGAGGCCGAATTGACTTTAAATATGGGCCATATCGACTTGGGAAGGAACGACTTGGAGTTGTAGGGACACAAATATAAAAATGAGATGTGGTATGATTGCCAATGAGACATCTTTCCACCAAAGTTCAAATGAAGTGGATGTAAGCAATTATAGGCAACCGAATGGCCTTCAACAATGAGAAAAGCCCATGCTGAATAGTCGGCTATAAAAGGGCCCCAACATGAAAAATATGAAACAGTTCAATTGAGAAAAATAACAGCCTAATCTAACAATTTACGAAAAACATATGACAGACATGAACCAACAACAACCACTGAACTACAGACTCCCAACTTGGGACAGGCACATAATGTGGCGGTGTTAAACATGTTTGTGAGTGCTCAACCCTCCCCTAACCTGGGACAGTGGTGTAACAGTACAACATAAGAACAAACTATAATAAAATGCTCCCTGCTGCGCAGCTTGATACGACCGCAGAGGTCGAAACCCTGAACAGTTGGGGCAAGTATGGACACAACATTCAAGCTTGATACAGCACTGAATTTGGATTGTAATTAAATATTTGACACAGCATAGGTTTCTGACACAGAATGAATGTGGTCTAAGAACTTAAAATTTTTTTAATTTACCTATTCAAACCATATCATTATTATTTGCTTTTATATATAAATCAGAAATAATCAATTTAAAATGGAAAATTTTAAAGAAAAAAAAGGAAAAAAAATCCCCCCCCCCAAATTTTTTGAACCCCCTTATGACTCTTCATCACCCCCAAACTCAATCCCAGCCTTCCCTTTGTGGTATGGTACCTTGCAGTACAATTTCAGAGAGATCCATACACTTGAACACAAGTTATTGTCTGGAAACTAGAAAAATGCTTGTTTTTTGGCCCCAAATTCCTTAACGTTTAGGGCAATTACCCCCAAACTCAAACCCAGCTTTCCCTTTGTGATATGGAACCTTGTAGTACAATTTCATAAAGATCCATACACTTATACACAGGTTCTTGTCCTGAAACTAGAAAAATGCTTGTTTTTTTGCCCCTTTATGGCCCCTAATTCTTAAAATTTTGAGGCAATTACCCCCCAAATCAATCCCAGCCTTCCCTTTGTGGTATGGTACCTTGCAGTACAATTTCAGAGAGATCCATACACTTGAACACAAGTTATTGTCTGGAAACTAGAAAAATGCTTATTTTTGGCCCCTTTTTGGCCCCTTATTCCTAAACGTTTTAGGCAATTACCCCCAAACTCAATTCCAGCTTTCCCTTTGTGATATGGAACCTTGTAGTACAATTTCATAAAGATCCATACACTTACACACAAGTTATTGTCATGAAACTAGAAAACTGCTTGTTTTCGCCCCTTTTTGGCCCCTAATTCCTAAAATTTGGAGGCAATTACCCCCAAAATCAATCCCAGCATTCCCTTTGTGATATGGAACCTTGTGGTACTATGTCAGAGAGATCCATACACTTACACACAAGTTATTGTCATGAAACTAGAAAACTGCTTATTTTTGGCCCCTAATTCCTAAAATTGGAGGCAATTACCCCCAAAATCAATCCCAGCATTCCATTTGTGATATGGAACCTTGTGGTACTATGTCAGAAGAGATCCATACACTTACACACAAGTAATGTCTGGAAGTTACAAAAATGCTTATTTTTGGCCCCTAATTCCTTAACTGTTGGTACCATAACCCCCAAAATCATTCCCCACCTTCCTTTTGTGGTATTGAACCTTATGGTAAAATTTCATTGAGATCCATTCACTTAAACTAAAGTTAGAGTGCGAAAACCAATGTGTCTTCGGACGACGACGCCAACGTCATACCAATATACGACCGCAAAATTTTTTTGCAGTCGTATAAAAATCAGTTGAAAAAGGCTTTATTCATCAGATCAATACAAAACAGAAAAACATCAAACATAAACACAGACCGGACATGGCAGCGTATTTAACCATCCCCATCCCTAACAACAAAAACGACACTAAGTACAGATCTGAGAGTACTTGCAGCTACTGACAGCTAGTTCAAAGCCAATAACAACTAATAAAAAAAATCATGTATCTAAGACTAAAATATCGATCAGTACACATCCAACATCCAATGAATTTAGTGTAAAGACGTCATTAACAGTTAAGAGAAAAACATGACCATGACAATGGAACAAAATCGGTGCCAACGTTATACACTTAGACAGGACATGCATAACAAAAACCAACTTAAATTACAATGATTAAATTTTGATTTAATCCTCTTCTATGGATAATTGGATTAAACAACAGCTTGGGTAATGTCACCTTTGTTTAATTTATCTTTTTTCATTATAAAAGAACAAAAACTGCCTGAAAATTGTTAAACCAACAAACAGGTTATTGTTTGCAACTAATATAAGTTCATAAGTATTTAAAGTGATACATGTAACCAATCAAAACATTATGAATTGAGTATTGAGAAAACTTCAAACAGAAAGCTAACTGATTATTTTTTTCAGTGTTTTCTAATTGCTTAATTACGAGTGCTGATGTTTAAAAGATGTACAAAATGAAGCTCTAAAATTGTAAGTTTGGCCAAAAAGTATACATGTATATAAAAAAAAACCTATTTTCCCCATACCTGAAATGAAATGGAAAGAAAACAGTAAAAATATTAGGTGCATGTTGAATAACCAAATGCCGAAATGACTTTAAATAAGTGTCGATTTGACCAGGCGCAGATTTAACTTTTTCCATAGGTGTCGAATTGAGGCCAATTTGACTTATATCGATACTCTCAAAATATCACTAATGCAACACTAACAGTAGTATGAATAACCAAATAAAACAGGTATTTCATATAATCATGAAATGTTGTAAAGCTGAAATAATAAATTACACAAGTTGAACATTATAAGGAATAGTTAAAACAAGTAAGACTGACTATTTTTTCGTCTCGGCCAACTTCAGAATTTTCACTGCAAGATTTATCTCCCATGCTTTGCCTACAGAAACTGCATTTAAAATGTCCCTTAATATTTTGTAGCATTGTTTCATTGTAAAGTAAGGCTTGAAAACTATTTGTGGTGTTTAAGTAATAATAATGTGCCGTGGACTGAATACACGAGTGCAAACATGTGTGTAGTAAACTGCATGATGTCGGCCATGGCTTTCATTCTCAGGTGGTCTTCCCATTCGAGCTGGCTTCTTAGACAAAATAAATGCCGCAACACTTAACTATTTGGGCGCCCGCATTCATAATTTTATATTTTGGATTCTTGCACCTTGAAAAGTGTTTGTAGTCGCACCCAATCTCGCGATTATTGTCAGTCTTTACCTGCTTTACTTGAACATGGCGCCTTTGTTTATCACTGATGAGTGACGTGTGCAATGACATCACAATGAAGCGGAATAACTCTTGATGAACAGGTGCTCGTTTTGCGTGTAACCTGGTTATATAAATTATTGGAGGCTACATTTACTGTTTATACATTTATAAATATGTAGTGTATTTAAAAATGATATATATATATATTTCAGTCCGAATCAGTCACAATGATCGCATGGGGAATTGACCCCCCTTTTCTATATACCAGTCTTAGGTCAAAAGTTTTTCCCCTATCCCAAATTCCTCTATCATATAAAAACACATTTTTTAAAAACATTGTCAAAAACTGATTTGATGTCGGATTTTGATGAAATTTTTAATGTTAAACTCAAACATGTGGACAGTTTTTATGGTTATATTATGAGAGACATATGTACAATACATTTATGTGCCTCTGTTGTTAACGGAAATATTTTATGACATGTATTATCCACATTCGTTATTCATTGTACATATGTTATTGTAGTTTGTTTGTTTTTTGTTGCCATACCCATTTATTGTTAATGTGTCAGTGCTAATAAATTTAAGTTATTAATTAGCATTATTTTTACAGAGAAATCATAATTATTTGTATTCAAAAATTGAAATTGAATCATTTTTTCTCCTTTATTGCAGAAGTAAATTACTAGTTATGGACTTCTGTTTATCGCCATATGAATTTTTCGTGCAGAAATTCATAGTGGTTCCCCCAAAAATATAGATAATAAATAAATTTCATAATTATTGCAAGAAAGAGGGGCGAAAGATACCAGAGAGACATTCAAACTCATAAATCGAAAATAAACTGACAACGCCAGACAAACAATAGTATACAAAACTAAAGACCAAGCAAAACGAACCCCACCAAAAACTGGGTGTGATCTCAGGTGCTCCGGAAGGGTAAGCAGATCCTGCTCCACATGTGGCACCCGTCGTGTTGCTCAAGAAACTGCAAACATTTTTGTATTTAATGAAAAAAATCATTCAATTTGGACAAGAATTTTTATCAAAAATAAGTTTTTATATGAAATGATTGAGGAATTTCCACTTGGTGAAAAAACTTTTGACCTAAGACTGTATAAATATATATATATTTTTTTTCTGTTTATTTTTTTAAAAACCCTTCTATAGTTAAATCGTATGGCACTGGCGAAGGAGCGGGACAAAGGGGGAAAACTACGTTGCCCCACACACTTTTTGGAAAATAGAAAATGTATTGAAAAACTTTCAGAAATATTTCAAATTTCTTCCGACTTCATTAAAATAACAATAAAAAAAAACAGACACAAGGATTTTTTATTAACTTGAACTCCAAGTCGTATTCATATTTTCCCTTATTTCAAATTCTCTCTTCAGAAACAAATTATTTATTGTCCAAGAAATTTAGAATCATGAACTATTACGAAAAAACATGTCCCTCCCTCCCCCATCGGAATGGTCGGTGTCATACCTTATATATCTTGATATCCTCATGTTTCTATATTTGTCAGCTTAATCAATATTTTATTGATTTATTTTCCATCACATATATGTTATTTCGTCGTGTGAATCTTATAATGATGTGTTTTACATTTGGTAATTGTGGTAAAAATTGAAATTAAAGTTTAAACGCTCAATATCATAAATATTTAACTGAGACATAAAAGGTTATATAAGAATCGAATTTACGTACATGAAGAGTTCTCTTTGTTCGATTGGTTTTTTTTTCATAGACAAGCAACTTAGATAAATAGTTTCAGAAATTTATCCTTATATCTCAATTGGAGATAGACCATGGATTTTTTTAACTTTGTAATATCACCAATTCTGTACTGCTGGATTTTCTAAGAATTGCTCATAGATTGAGTTCAAACCATGCAAACCATTTAATCATAGTAAATAGACATAATAATAAGACATAAAGCTTTATTTAGAGTCGGTATGTGCAAATACAAGTATAAAATATAAGCTCTGAAGAGCTTTTAAAACCGACAGAGCAACAAATAAAACAAAACATACATATAAAGTCATGCACACATAAATTTAACATATAAAGCAAGAGTTCATATCAGTATATAAACATGCAGCACAAAAGTTCTTAAAAGCATCTTACAAGTTAAACACACACTGAAACATGCACTTGTGAGATAAAGCACAAAAGCAAAAATAAAATGGTTTGCACATTAAAAGCACATATAGATTAGTTAGTTACTAAAACTAGCACAAAGCAGCAGAAGCACTATAGTAAAGATAATAAAATAAAATTGCCATGCTGAAAATAAAGCATTAAACCAAAAAAAATGAACAGAAATTAACTGGTTTAAAAATTTGCAGGCAAAACATTGGCATGAGCTGCCAGACCAAGAATTTATCAAGTTCTTGAATTGATTTAAAGATGATTGCTTACGTAGCACATCTGGCAGCTCATTCCAAAGCTTAGCACCTGCATACCTTAAGGATTGTAGGCCGTATGCAGTTGTTCTTACATGTGGTAGGTCGGCTGTATTCTGGTATCTGAAAGAGTAAGTGTTTTCCTTTAAGTGTATTAAATCGTGGAGATAAACAGGACAATCTTTATTAATAATTTTGAAAACTTCAATAGCCAATGATCGCATTCTTCTTATTTTTAAAGATGGTAATTTTGATTTGCAGAGTAGATCTTCATAGCTTGCTGAATAGTCTTCATAGATGAACCTTAGTGCTCTCTCTTGAATTTTCTCTATCTTTTTAGTATTAACCTCCCCACAAAAGTGCCAAACTAGTGGGCAGTAATTAAAGTTGGACATTATGAAAGAATAATATATTGTTAATTTTCCGAGTTTAGTCAGGTGTTTTCCTATTCTTTTTAATACATTTAACTGTTTGGATGCTTTTTTACATATTATAGAGACATGTTCATTGAAATTTAGTTTAAAATCTATTGTTACGCCTAGAAGTTTAACGTTATCTTCACATTCTATTTCATTACCTTCTAATTTAAATTTTAGGTTTTTGTCTTTAGTTTTTTTACCTACAGCTATTGCTTGAAATTTTTCTGGATTTGCTTTCATTTTATTTATTGAGAACCAATTTATCAAAATTTTGCTTTCATCTTCTAGAGTATTAATTAATTTATCTAAATCTTTATCTGCGTATGAAAGGGTGTTGTCATCTGCATAATTATAGAGTTCACTTTTATGAATAAAAAGAAAATGTCATTTAAAAAGATGTTAAATAATGTTGGCCCTAATATTGACCCTTGTGGCACCCCTTTAAACATTGTTTGCCAGTAGCTTGAATTAGTACCTACTTTCACACACTGTTTTCTATTAGTTAAATAGCTTTCCAAAAGTTTAAGAGAAGAAGCGGAGACACCGTAGGATTTTAATTTTAATAGGAGGAGGTCATGGGGTAGGCAGTCAAAAGCCTTGGACAAGTCCATTAATATAGCTGCTACATATTTATTCTGATCTAAAGCCTTTTTCCAATCTTCAATTATTTTTAATAAAGCGGTTTGGCATCCGTATCCTTTTCGAAAAGCTGACAGAAAAATGTGGAAAAATGAATTAAAATATTCCACAAGTTGATTTTCTATAGACCTCTCAAAAATTTTTGAAATCATGGGCAATATACTTACAGGTCTATAGTTTCCTTTATCTAGAGTGTTTGATTTTTTATGCAGAGGTTTTACTTGTGCTTCTTTTAATTTATCTGGGAAAACAGCTAATTCAAATGATTTATTTATTAATTTAGAAATTGGATTGGATAGTTCAGATTCAGATAATTTTAATATTTTTGAAGAGATTCCATCTTTTCCTGTTGCCTTTTTTATGTTAATTTTATTGATTTGTTTTTTAACAAACTCAGAATTTACTGGGCTAAAACATAGTTCTTCTTTTTCTGGTTTGTTTTCTTTTATAACTTTAATACTGGGATGGTGTTCATCGATGATAGTATCTTTTGAGCCGATATCTCTGGCAACATTTATAAAAAAGTTATTAAATAGTTCAGCAACTTCATTTTCATCATTAATTATTTTATTGTCTTCACATAGTATTAGATCTTTTGAAAAATGTGAACCTTTGTTAGTTAAGAAGGGCTTGATTGTTGGCCAAAAATCTTTGCTGTTTGGTCCTCCTACACAAATTTCCATGAAATAGTTTCTGATGGATTTCTTTTTAATTTTATTAACCAAATTTCTTTGTTTTCTGTATGATTCCCAATTTGTTTTATTTTTATAGTTTTGATATTTGTTATATGCCATTCTTTTTTTATATATTTCCCTTCGTAAAGTTTGATTCATGAATGGGGCTGGTTTGTTGATGGCTTTATTTTTTTTTCATAGGTATATGTTTGTCTATAACCTCCATGAAATTTGTCTCAAATGTGTCATATGCTGTATTAACATCTGCTGATTCTTCTATTATAGCAGTTCAGTTTTTTCCATTTAAATCTGTCAAAAAATGTTCCTGGTCAAAGTGTTTGAAACTTCTGTAATTTATGAAACCTTTATTTATTTTTGGTAGTTTGCCCTTAATTTGAGTGGAAATAATGTTATGTACATCAATCAAACCACAGTTGAAATTTAAAATGTTTTGACAATAAGTTGTTTGGTTTGTAAGAATAACATCATTTAAGGTAGCAGGAGCATGTTTTGTGAAACAAGTTGGTTTATTTACCAGATTTGTGAAATCAAAAATATCACAGATAGTACTACTAAGATAATTTTAATAACTGCAAAAATACATGAGAAATTGTGGAGATACAACACTATAAAAATATTTGTCTATGAACTAACTGTACGAATAAGCCATAATAATCCAATGGGAGTGTGGAGATAGAACAGCGTAGTTCTGACAAAAACTCGCAGAGTCAAACACCTACAACAAATTAATTATTTTAAAGGTTTATTGGCACAATCGGGTAACTTAATACTATTTTAGATTGCTAGCTTTTTAAATTCCTTCAAACGGAATGAGCATGCCTCAAGGTCAAATTTTAAAGTTTACCTTGATTTTTGACCTTATACCTTGTTAAGGGTTACTCTCAGTAACTGGGT